TTTTTACCACGAACGTCGTTTACCATTTTTTTAAAAATGTATTAACTTGGTAGAGATTTTTTAAGATGATCAGGATAGCAAAGATTGAATAACAGTTGTGATGAATACTATTGAATCTTTATTTGACGAGCATATTGATCTAGAAGTTGATTATGCAAAATTTGCTGATAGTTGGTCAATCGATACAGTTTAAGATACAATTAGGAAAAAAAATTGAGAAGAGAAAGATTTGAAAATAAGTTCGAAGTTAAAGAATTTCGATTTATAAATCTCATCCAAATCACCACTTTTTATTGGAATGGTGGAAAAATTCTTACAAATAATTCCTATGAATTTTACATTACTTATGACACATTTTATTACTGATTGAGTTTGAGTAATCGACAATTATAAAACGAGTCATACTAATCAAATTTGATAGAAAAACGATAAATGAAGATAGTTCCAGGTTGTTTGAAATATTGTTTTTTTTTTCTAGACAGAACTCAGTAAATGAGTATCTTCAAATTTTGATAGACTTTTGGAACATTCTGTATAAATTTTAATTCAATTTTTAATACTTTCTTTTTTCTTCTTTAGGGTAAATCTTGGTCATTAGACGATGAATGTGATGATGATGAAGAAGATTTACAAAACGTTTTTATACCACAAGTCAGCCTTAAACGTTGTGTTGCTACAGCAAGTGAAACATTAATGTCTTCACAAGCCGATAAACAACGAGAAGCCATAGAACCTGCTCGACAAGCAGCTACAATTGCTTCAGTTGCATGCATAGTTGGTGAAAAAGTCGATGATAACGAAGAAGATCCTTTAGATAAATATATGGAAAGTATTGCAAAAGAAGTTAAAGATTTTCATGAAAATAACACAAAAACATTTACTACAATTAAACGAGAACAAATATCAAATAATAGCAAAGGATCAATTATTAAAATTATTACAAAAACAATTAAAAATAAAGTAAGAACAATTAATTATTTAGAGTTTGATTAATCAATTAAATGTATGAAGCTACAGAAAAATCACGAGGTTGAGCTGAACTGTACTAAGTTATAAGATCGAATGAAGGAAAAATTAGAGTTAACAAGGAGTTGTTTACACCATTCCCAAGTTTCGGTAGATACGATGATAGATGAAAAATTAATTTCTTGGAATCCTCATCAACATTTGTGAACAATATAGGATGTCCATGTGCTATCTACAGTGAATTTAGATAAGAGCCAATCGTATTTTAAATTAAAATTAAAATAAACTTTTGTTTTATTTTATTTCTTGTAGTCAGTTGAACCAAGTGGCACAGTACCAACAATCAATGATCATCATGATGATTCATCAATAGTTAAAACTGAACCTATGGATACTAATGATCAATCATTCTCAGCTCCATCACTTGTTACAGTTCATAGTGATGTAGCTAAATCTGCTAAAGAAAAAGGCCTTATTATGGAACAAGACATAGATGGTTTAGAATATTCATCAGAAGAAGAAAGTATTAAACTAAATGAAGATCTCAATGGTATATCTGCTATGAATAGTAAAAAATCGAAATTGGTAAGTTAAAAATTCAAAAATTCAAATTTTTATCATTCTATTTCTTTTTTAAGGATATGATTATAACAAATCATGATAAAATATATTATCGACCATTTCGTAAAGATTTTTATACAGCTATATCCGAAATAGCTAATATGACAGAAGCCGGTAAATAGAATCAACCAAAAAAAAAAAAAGATTTTTAATTCTTGTTTTGTAAATCTTTTTAGAAGTTGCTGCTTATCGAAAAGAACTCGATGGTATTGAAATAGTTGGTAAACGATGTCCAAGACCAATAAAAACTTGGTCACAATGTATAACATCTGATAAAATTTTACAATTTTTAAAAAAGTAAATTAAAAAGAATTTCTTATTGTTGTTGTTGTTCTGCAAATAATCATATTTTCATTTAGACTTAATTATGAAAAGCCAACACCTATTCAAACTCAAGCATTACCAATTATTCTTTCTGGTAGAAATATGATTGGTATTGCTAAAACAGGCAGTGGAAAAACATTAGCATTTCTTTTACCAATGTTTCGTCATATAATAGATCAACCACCATTAAATAATGGTGATGGTCCAATAGGTATAAAAACTAAATATTCATTTTCTTTTATTTATTTTTGAGAACGACATTTATTTTTATTTTAGCTATTATTATGACACCAACTCGTGAATTAACATTACAAACAACAAGAGAATGTAAAAAATATGCTAAATTATTTAATATTCATTGTATTGCTGTTTATGGTGGTACAAGCATATCAGAACAAATTGTATGTTTGATTCTTCTTTTGTTTTTTTGTGTTGTTAAAAATGTAATCTTGAAATATATTTTTTAGGCACAACTTAAACGTGGTGCAGAAATTATTGTATGTACACCTGGACGTTTAGTTGATATGTTAACTGCTAATAATGGTATGTAGAAAAATTTATTCATTGA